TAGTTTTGTGCTGCCCTAGGCGACAATCGGGTGCCGAGAGAGATAGGGCAGTATCCAAGGGCTCGGCACACAGTCCACTCTGGCTGACAATCAGCTGGTCTCTGATGAATCCTCCCAGCCCGGCCTTGGTCCCCACTCTCACCTGGTTCTCCCAGCTGCACAGATGATATGCCCAAGAAAATGCTGATTTTTAGCAGCCGGTGCTTCCCATGCCCATCACATACCTAGGGAGTGCCCGCAAGCATGGAACAGCCAGTGGGCCACATCCAACCTATGGGATCCCTGCGACAACCAGTGATGCCCTCCTGCCTGCTGTGGTCTTCCTCCACTCCATTTGTCACCTCCTGCATTGAGCTGCGCCTCAGGATGTAGGCGAAAGAGAAATCACTGCTGCCAGGGGGTGGCGCTGCCCCCCTGAAAAATGCTGCCCAAGGCACTGTAAAAAAAATAAAAAAAAAAAATAAAAAAAAAAAAAAAAACTTTTAAAGCACCCGTCAGCCCCCACACCCCATAGAAAGTGCAGCGTAGGGCAAACATCAGTCACACCACACATGTGAGGTATCATTGCGAATGTTGGAGTGAGAGCAAATATATGAACACCATCATTTGTGGTTAGCTCTAAACATTAATTTCTTACAGGCAGGGCATTTTTTTTAGTGGGAACATGGAGGAAAAGCAGTACCGGCATCTCCAGCACTGAATGTACAGCATGAATTGGCAAGGGGTGCTGGGATGTGCTGGGAGGTCTATTGATTTTGGCTGCTGTGGGTCTATTGTCACTGTTTTTGCATAGTGGTCTATTTTTGCTGGGGAGGTCTATTGTTGCTTTTGGGGGATATTGTTTCTTGGAAGGGATCTACTGTTGAGGGAGGAGTCTGTTGTTGCTGGCTGCTGGAGAGTCTTTTGATGCTGGCTGCTGGGAGATCTGTTGTTGCTTCTGGCGATCTATTGTTGCTGGGATGGTTGTTTTTGTTCCTTGGAGGATCTCTTTTACTGCTTTTCTTGTTATTAAACCCTTGATGCCGACGTCACACAAATACACGGCCTCTCAGAACTGGGCATTTTTACCGTGGGGCCGCATATTTGCGTACCTTTGTGCTGAGACAAAGACCAGGGTGTCACTGAGAGCCCTGGGTCCCGTTCTAACGATCGGGACCCGGGACTCCCGATTCTGGGTCACGTGATCGCTGTGGTAGCCTCTGATTGGCTATCACAGTGATCAGTCACTGTACAGCCTGGCCCCCTTGGGTTTTTTCTTCTCTCTATGAAGGGGGAGAGAGAGATACGTTGTATCTCTCTAACTCCTGGCATAGAGGGAGAAAAAGTGTTTGTAAAAAAGAAAAAGATAAATAAATAAAGACAAAATACCTAGATTAAGGTTTGATCTAGTTCAGTGCCAGGGTAAGTGGGTCAAGGTTGGGGTCAAGGTTAAGAGGTCAAAAGGTCAGGATTGGTATCAGTGTCAGTGTGTTTTAGATAAAAAAAACAAAATGCTCACTTTTGTTTCTGGGCAGTACTGTGGGTACAAGCAACAAATAACATACACATGTATGGTATCACTGCAATCGTCAAGAGCTGGAAAATGTATTTTGGGATTTTCTTTGGTGGTAGGTAGTAACAAGAAACACACAACTAAATTTTAAAAAATGATTTTTTTTTTATATTTTGGGCCAGTTTTCCTTTGATTAAAAAAAAAAATATCAGGAGATATCCATTACCATTTACCACCAAATGAAAGCCCAACTTGTCCTGAAAAAAACGCGGTATAATTCACCTGGATGTACAAAGTAGTTGTGATGATATGTAACACATGTCAAAGTTGCTAAATTGTGCTTAGGCATTAAGATTTGTTTTGCCCTTAGGCGTGAAGGGGTTAAACAAATTTCATCTAAATTACACAGCACCACAAAATGATACTTGGCTGTGTATACTCTATAAGGTGGGTGGACTGTGCTCAGAGGTGGGGGGGGCAAGGAGTGGTTCAGAGGGGGGGAGTTCCTGCACCTATCCTGATTACAGGTACTTATATAGTGCCGTCAATTTACGCAGAGCTTTACATAAACAGTATATTGTACATTCACATCAGTATGTACATGCACATTAGTCCCTAACCCTCAAGGGGAGTACAATCTAAGGTCCCTAACCAGGGGCGGACTGACAACTCAAGGGGCCCCTGGGCAATAGGGGATCATGGGGCCCTTGTGTCCTTGCCCAAACTCAAAAAAGCCTATGAAAAAGGTACCAGGGGCATCTCATGGGGCCCTCGGGCAGTGCCCGAGTTTCCAAATGGTCAGTCCTCCCCTGTCCCTAACTCACATTCATACATACACATACTAGGGCCAATTTAGACAGGATCCAATTAACCTACCTGCATGTCTTTGGAGTACCCGGAGGAAACCCACGCAGGCACAGGGAGAACATGCAAACTCCAGGCAGGTGGTGCTGTGGTTGGGATTCAAACCAATGACCCTAGTACTGCCAGGTGGAAGTGCTAACCACTTAGCCACTGTGCTGCCCCATGACTTGACTACTGTAACTCCCTCCTCACCAGCTTACCTCGTCACAGGCTATCCCTGCTTCAGTCTATCCTGAATTCTGCGGCCAGACTCATCCACCTTACCAACCCTCTCTGCCAATCCCTCCACTGGCTTCCGATTGCCCAACACATAAAATTCAAATTGCTAACATTGACGTACAAAGCTATTCATAACTCTGCCCCAAACTACATCACCGACCTGATAGCAAATACCACCCAACACGTACTCTTCGCTCCTCACAAGACCTCCTCCTCCCCCAGGCCCGGCTCCAGGACTTCTCCAGGGCTTCCCCCATCCTCTGGAACTCACTACCCCAATTCATCAGACTGTCACCTACCCTCCTCACCTTTAGGGCGCACCCTGAAAACCCATCTCTTCTGGGAAGCCTACCCGCCCTCACCTAACTGCCGATCTCCTCCACTCCTCCTACCACTCCATCCCCTACAGCCATTTCCTCCTGTACCACTATCCCCTCCCTCCTAGATTGTAAGCTCCAAGGAGCAGGGCCCTCGAACCCCTTGTGTATCGCATTGTATTGTTATTGTACTGTCTCATGTATTGTCTCCCATTGTAATGTACAGCGCTGAGCAAAATTTTGGCGCTATATATAAATACTGTATAATATAATAATGCTAGGGCCATGTTGGACAGAAGCCAACTGACCTACCAGCATGTCTTTGGAGTGTCAGAGGAAATCGGAGTACGTGGAGGAAACCCACGCAGGCACAGGGAGAACATGTATACTCCAGGCAGGTGGTGCTGCAGCTGGGATTTGAGCCAATCACCCTAGTACTGCTGCTAACCACTTAGCCACTGTGCTGCCCCATATATAATGTATATTCACATCAGTCTATGGAGAATTTTGGGCACCATCATTTTTTTGTGCAATTTTAGGAATCTATTTATTTACCTGACCAGGGGTGGACTGACAACTCATGGAGCCCCTGGGCAATAGGGGATCATGGGGCCCCTGTGTCCTTGCCCAAACTCAAAAAAGCCTATGAAAAAGGTACCAGGGGCATCTCATGGGGGCCCCTACTGACCCCGGGCCCTCGGGCAGTGCCCGAGTTTCCAAATGGTCAGTCCGCCCCTGTACCTGACGCAACCCCAGCTTTAATATCTCGCCCAAACATTTGGATATCATATTGTGTTTGCATTACAATCAAAATGTATTTGTTTCCTGAAAACATGTTTGATGAATAATTGCGCACATATTGTGCGACATGAAAATTGCAACTACCAACATTTTATTCTCTGGTGTCTCTGCTCTCAGAAATTATATTCTTTTCATGGGGGTTACAGCAATTTCTCGAAAAAAAAAAAAAAGTGCGTGAGCGAAAAATAACAAAATGGCTGTGGTAGGCAATTGGTCCAATGGAGTCTGTGCGCGCTAAAGTTCATTTCAGTATAATTGTTTCTAAAAAAAATATAGATTTGGTAAATTTTGATCACTGAAAAAGTATTTATTTTTATTTATTTCAGGTACTTATATAGCGCCATCAATTTGCGCAGCGCTTTACATATATATTGTACATTCACATCAGTCCCTAACCCTCAAGGGGTGTACAATCTAAGGTCCCTAACCCACATCCATACATACACATACTAGGGACAAATTTTAGACAGGAGCCAATTAACCTTCCAGCATGTCTTTGGAGTGTGGAAGGAAATCGGAGTACCCGGAGGAAACCAACGCAGGCACAGGGAGAACATGCAAACTCCAGGCAGGTGGTGCTGTTGGGATTTGAACCAACGACCCTAGTGCTGCCAGGAGGAAGTGCTAACCATTTAGCCACTGTGCTGCCCATAAATATTGCTTTTTAATGTGTGTGAACAATCATTGGGGGTTAATGGGCGATTTTGATATTTTAGTCAGAGTTCTGCTTTATTATAACAACATGGAGTTTCACTAGAAGAGCCATCTCTGCGGTAAATGCATTTCACACATAATCCGCACGCTTCGCGCCTTACTTCTATTTACTTCAGCATTTAACAGAAAAACTACAACTCCCAGAGTGCTTTAAGGCCAGGCGGGGCATAACTAGAGAACCTATCCAATCACCGCTCTCTTCACATCCACCCAGGAACAGCTCTAAATAGTACGGACATAGCGACTGGTTTCTTTCTCAGTCACACGACTCTCCCAGAAGCCAATTACAGCTGTTTTCTTTACCACCCCGCGCCTATCAGAAAGCCGCGCTCGCATTGGTCCATCGCCTACCCGATTGGGAAGAGCTGGCCAGGCGGAAGCAGTTGGTACTAGTCTGCTATATTGCTTCCGGTTCACCGTATTCACTCGTTTTCTCGGCGGCACTAGACGCTGCTCTCCCGGCTCCGGCTGCGTAGCTGGGATGTCTGCCGTACACGGTTCCCTCCTGGTTTCGGTGTAAAAAAAAAAAGAAAAGAGATTAAGCTAAAACAGTCTAATAATAGAGAAACTGAGAGAGTGTGTGTAGTGCAGACATGGCCTTTGAGAGCCTGTTCGCCAGACCCCCCAACTCTGCCCTACTAGACACCCACATGACAGAGTGTCAGCATGCAGGGGACGAAAGGTCGAGTAATATTACCTTCTCTTCTCATTCTTCTGATTTCTGATTGATTGATGCTCATTCTGTGCTCATCATTGTATATGGGGTGGGGTGGGGGGAGGGGAGAGGGCCTCATCCAGGGCCATTGTGATCCCACTGTCTTCTCATCTGTCTGATCACCAGCTGGATGTATATATGTTATATATTCTGTATATAGCTCATATATACCTATATATACATCACACACTGACCATTGCATTCTGTGTATTACTGGGGCCTAGTCACTGTGCCTGGTGATCGCATTCTTCCTCTATATGGCACAATATTGCAATATTTGCATGATAATATGGGCTGAAATAATACTGGGATTGCCTGAAAATCTTTATATTACATCAATCTTTTATTATCCACGTTGCAGTTTATAGAACGGTGCTGGCGCTGTTTTATCATGATATCAAAAAAAATATACCGGCACCAGTTAGATAAAAGTACCGGCATTGTTCTATATATTTATATAGAAAAGTACCAGTACTGTTTTTTTTATTTTTGCATGTGCACAGAAATATACTCACTTGGTGGGTTGAGAATCTAACAGTAGTGATGGTGCAATGCCATTTGTTTTCCTTTTGTCAGTTATAGAAAGGTGCTGGTACTATTTTATGTAAACGTACCGGCGTTGTTTTATTGTACTATATAAAGGAACCAGCATTGTTTTCTAATTTATACAGAGAAGTACCGGCGCTATTTTATAGAACGATACCGGCGTTGGTTTCCAGTACCATACTAAGGTGCCGGCAGTGTTTTCTAATTCTATAGAAAAGAAACAGCGCTACTTTATATAAACGTATCAGCGTTGTTTTCTAATTATATTGGAAAGTATTGGCGCTATGTTATATAAACGTATCAGCGGTTTCTAATTATATTGGAACGTACGGGCGCTATTTTATATAAACGGATCAGCGTTGTTTTCTGCTTATATTGGAAAATACTGGGGCCATGTTATATAAACGTATCGGCGTTGTTTTCTAATTCTATAGAAAAGTACTGGCGTTGTTTTCTAATTATATTGGAAAATACCGGGGCCATGTTATATAAACGTATCAGCTTTGTTTTCTAATTCTATTGGAAAATACTGGCGCTATGTTATAAACGTATCGGTGTTGTTTTCTAATTCTATAGAAAAGTATCGGCGCTATTTTATATAAACGTATTGACATTGTTTTCTAATTCTATAGAAAAGTACCGGCGCTTATTTATATAAACGTATTGACATTGTTTTCTAATTATATAGAAAAGTACCAGCGCGATTTTATATAAACGTATCGGCGTTTTCTAATTATATAGAAAAACACCGGCGCTATTTTATATTAGCGTATCGGCGTTGTTTTCTAATTATATAGAAAAGTACCGGCGCTATTTTATATAAATGTATCAGCGTTGTTTTCTAATTATATAGAAAAGTACCGGCGCTATTTTATATAAATGTATCAGCGTTGTTTTCTAATTATATAGAAAAGTACCGGCGCTATTTTATATAAATGTATCAGCGTTGTTTTCTAATTATATAGAAAAGTACCGGCGCTATTTTATATAAATGTATCAGCGTTGTTTTCTAATTATATTGGAAAATACTGGGGCCATGTTATATTAACGTATCAGCATTTTTTTCTAATTATATAGAAAAGTACCGGCGCTATGTTATATAAACGTATCAGCGTTGTTTTCTAATTCTATAGAAAAGTACCGGCGCGATTTTATATAAACGTATCGGTGTTGTTTTCTAATTATATAGAAAAGTACCAGCACTATTTTATATAAACGTATCAGCGTTGTTTTCTAATGATATAGAAAAGTACCAGCGCTATTTTATATAAACGTATCAGCGTTATTTTATAATTATATAGAAAAGTATCGGCGCTATTTTATATAAACGTATCAGCGTTATTTTCTAATTATATAGAAAAGTACCAGCGCTATTTTATATAAACGTATCAGCGTTATTTTATAATTATATAGAAAAGTATCGGCGCTATTTTATATAAACGTATCAGCGTTATTTTCTAATTATATAGAAAAGTATCGGCGCTATTTTATATAAACGTATCAGCGTTGTTTTCTAATTATATGGAGAAGTACCGGCGCTATTTTTTATAGAAAAGTACCTGCGCTATTTTATATAAATGTATTGGCCTTGTTTTCTAATTATATAGAAAAGTCCTGGCGCTATTTTATATAAACATGTCGGCGTTGTTTTCTAATTATATAAAAAAGTATGTGCGCTATTTTATATAAAGGTACTGACCATGTTTTCTAATTCATATAGAAAAGTACTGGTGCTATTTTATATAAAGGTACTGGAGTTGTATTCTAATTTATATAAAAAAGTACCGGCGCTGTTTTATATCAAGGTACCGGTGTTATTTTATATAGAAAAGTACTGGCGCTATTTTATATAAAGGTACTGGTGTTTTCTAATTTATATAAAAGTACCGGCGCGGTTTTATTTAAAGGTACCAGTGTTATTTTATATAGAAAAGTCCTGGTGTTATTTTATATAAAGGTATCGGCGTTGTTTTCTAATTATTTATACGAAAAAAACTATCGGTGCTATTTTATATAAAGGTGCTGGCAGTGTTTTCTAATTTATATAGAAAAGTACCAACGCTATTTTATACAAAGGTGTCAGTGTTGTTTTCTAGTTATATAAAAAAGTCTGCGCTATTTTATATAAAGGTACTGGCAATGGTTTCAAATTATTCATATAGAAAAGTTCTGGTACTCCTTTTTTTTTTTTTTTTTTTTTTTTTTTTTTTTTTTTTTTATATAACGGTACCAGCGTTTTGTTTTCTAATTATATAGAAAAATACTGGTGCTGTTTTATATTAAGGTATCGGCGTTGTTTTATATAAAGTTACCGGTGTTATTTTATATGGAAAAGTCCTGGCGCTATTTTATATTAAGGCATCAGCGTTTTCTAATTATATAAAAAAGTATTTGCGCTATTTTATATAAAGATACTGGTGTTATTTTATATAAAATATGGGTGTTGTTTTCTAATTTATATAGAAAAGAACCTGCGCTATTTTATATTAGGGTACCGGCGTTGTTTTCTAATGGTATAGAAAAGTACCGGCGCTATTTTATTTTAGGGCACCTGCATTGTTTTCTAATTATTTTTATAAAAAGTATCGGTGCTATTTTATATAAAGTTACCTGCAAAGTTTTCTAATTCATATAGAAAAGTACTGGCGCTATTTTCTATAAAGGAAGGTACCAGTGTTGTTTTCTAATTATATAGAAAAGTACCGGCGCTATTTTATATAAAGGTATTGGCGTTGTTTTCGAATTATTTATATAGAAAAGTACCGATACTATTTTATAATTTTATAGAACGGTATCAGCATTGCTTTCTTAATGTTATGGAAAAGTATAGGTAGCAATTTTTTTTTTATTATTATTTTTGCATGTGCACATAAATATACACATTTGGTGGGTTGAGAAACTACAGCAGTGATTACGCAATACCATTTGTTTTTGTTTTCTCATCAATAGGTGCTGGCACTATTTTATAAATACATGAAAAAGTACCTGCACTGTTTTAGAATTTTATATAAAGGTACCGGCGTTGTTTTCTAAATATTTATATAGAAAAGTACCAGTACTATTTTTTATTTTTTTTATAAAGGTGCCAGTGTTGTTTTATCATTTATATAGAAGAGTACTGGGACTATTTTAGATAAAGGTGTCAACATTGTTTTATAATTATTTATATAGAAGAGTACCGTCACTATTTTTTATTACTTTTTTTAAATATTATTTTTGCATGTGCACATAAATAGACATGCTCAGTAGGATGAGAATCTACAGCAGTGACCATGTAATTTAAATATTATTTTTGCATGTGCACATAAATAGACATGCTCAGTAGGATGAGAATCTACAGCAGTGACCATGTAATTTAAATATTATTTTTGCATGTGCACATAAATAGACATGCTCAGTAGGATGAGAATCTACAGCAGTGACCATGTAATTTAATTTGTTTCCTTATCTCGGCTTCATCTCTTATTTGCATCATGAATTATGGGTGGAATTTTTGTTAGACCTTTAGGGCACCATATTGGAATATTTGCATGATTATATGGACTGTAATAACACTCGGGAGTGTTACAAAAGTGTCTGAAAATATTTTTATTGCTTAAATCTTTTTATAATCACATTGCCATTTATATCAATGTGCTGGCACTACTTTATAATTTTATATAAAAGTACTGGCACTTTCACTGTTTTTAATAGCACAGCATTGTTTATATATTATAAGCATTGGTACTATTTTTTAATACTTTTTCTTTAATTTTTTGTTTGGTTTTTAAATGTGCACATAAATATACACGCTCGGTAGAATCAACGACAGCATTACAAGATTGTTCAAAAACAATTTTATTCCATAAATCAATTAATATTCACATTGCCATTTGTAAATAGGTCCTGGCACTGTTTTATGATATAGAAAGGTGCTGGCACTATTTTCATAATTTTATAAAAGGAAAATATTTTTTTTCCTAATGATATAGGAAAGTACCAGTATTTTTATGCTCAGTAGCGTGAGAATCTACAGCAGTGATTGCGCAATACCATTTGTATTTCTTTTGCCATTTCTAGAAGGGTGCTAGCACTATTTTATAATGATATAAAAAAAAAGTACCGTGATGGTGTAATTCCATTTGTTTTCTTATCTCAATGTTATCTCATTCCTCTTTATGGCATTGTGCCTGATGATAGGATTTTTGTCACCTTTTCGCAGTATTTGCACGATTATATATGGGATTGAATATCACTAGGAGTGTTACAAGATTGTCTGAAAATATTTTTATTGCAGAAATAGTTTCCTATCCACATTGTTATTTGTAGAAAGCTGCTGGCCCTCTCTAATGATAAAAAAAAAAAAAGTCCTGGCACTATTTTATTTATTTATTACAGGTACTTATATAGCGCTGTCAATTTATGCAGTGCTTTACATATAC